CCCTTTTCTTTCTTGTCAGAGTGTCACTCTGTTGCTCAGGTAGGAGTGCATGGCACACTCACAGTCATGGCTGTCTCAACCTGCTGAACTCTGGTGATCCTTCTGCCTCAGCCTTCCAAGTAGCTGGAACCACAGACACGTACCTTATTGTAGAGATAAGGTCTCGTCAAGTTGCCCAGGCTGGTCTTGAACCCCTGGGCTCAGGCAATCCTCTAACTTCAGCTTCCCAAAGTGCTGGGATTACAGGCATGAGCCACCACACCTGGTTAACTTTGTTTCTTAGGAAATATTTTTATATCATCAAAATATAGCCAATAATTGCACATGAACTCTAAAATAGTTGATGGATTATATAATCTGTATAATCTAGATTAGGGAATATCTCCATGGGTTATTTTTATTCTGTTTTGAGACCTAATTCCAATTTTAGGAATTCTACACTGCAAGTCCTTGATGTCAGCTGTGTGTTGAGTAGCTTCTGTAACTATAAACCCAGCTATCTGTTGAGTAGCTTCTGTAACTATAAACCCTTACCAACATTACACTACGTGCTAGACAGAGAAAAATATGATATGATTCCAGCAATAGAAAGACTTTCAGTGTATGAAAGGAGGGCAATAAGAAACAAAGAACTATAAGAACTATAGGCAAGTCAAAATCAGTATACTGGAAAACAAAATTCATCACCATCCCTCTTCAAACCCTCATGTCCCCTCGCTTTTTCAAGTAAGTACCATTAAGTTGCAAAGAATGAAAATCTTACAGTAGCTGCTAGCATTTTCCTTTATTAGCCTTGAATATATGCAATTTATGATAATATTTGACAATTATGACAGTAAATCAATCAATCAATATTATAATAATTCAATGTTGGGGATTTTCTTTAAAATACCAAAACAAAAAACTGGGTGGAAGGGCAGTTGATACAAGACTTGCAAATGTTAACAAGAGTTGAAGGTGCATGATGGTTCCACAGAATTATTTTAGTTACATTACATTTGATATGGTTATAAATTTCCATAGCAAAAACTTAAGGGAAAAATAAAAGCTTTGAAGCCTATTTTGTAAAACTTAGTTAAAAATCCAAAGAGAAATCTACTGAAGAGGAAAATATTAAAATATTAATATTGTTTTTGCCATATTCTGTGATTTGGGGTACTTAAATTTTTTCTTTATATTTTATATATTTTCTTAATCCTTTACAATATGCAGTAACTTCAATAATCAGAATATGAACTATAAATATTTCAAATAATATATAATTAAATTGCAGATGACTAAAAAATCTTATTAAAGAAGTCAAAGTGCATTAACATAGTTTTCATAGCCCTCAACAAAAACCAAAAAATGTCTTTTTATTTGTATTTTGTTTTTAGATTGGAAAATATAGTTTATTTAAAAGTAAATTAGAGAGAGAGAAAGAAGATTCACCTCCCCAAAGTAGGGGAGGGGGGTTATTTTTTTTTATTTTACAAACATGTCTTTCTAACCTCATACTAAACACATTAAGAACTAAGGCAATGGATTGAAACTTGAATTCAAATCCCAGGTCAGCTTCTTACAGCCATATGACCTAAGATAATACGCTCATGTCTGTTTCTTCATCTTTAAAATGGGAATGACAGTTACCCACCCAGGGCACCTGTGAGGATTAAATGCTAATTCACATAAAATTCTTAGAATAATTGGCAATAAATGTTTAAATGCTATCTTCATTACTTATGCCCAAGCACTCCCCCATTCCCTCCTGTATTTATTCAACAAATATCAGGGTATCTCTGTAGCGAATTTTCCAATGAGTGAAGGAAATATCTTCTACCCTGAGATAGGAGGACACAGGAGAAGGAAGGATGCTAAGTTTTACTCAGGTGAGACTCTGCTGCCAGCAGTCAAAGTGTCACTCCTTCCTTCTCTCTGCGACCTCTCCCAAGAAGTCCAGGCTGTGGAAGGAAAGAAGACTGGGAGAAATCAGGACCTAATCAGAGCACCCTGGAGTGACCTTCTCCTAATGAAAAAGCTCCTTCAGGGATCAGAGAAGAGCCAGGGACACTGCAGATGGAGCTCTGGCCCCATTCTGGGTTCACAGCACGGGAGCTTTCAGGGAACTGGGTGCTTCTCAGAAAATTAAAAAGTATTAATAACAAGAGACTTATCTTCTACCACACGTCAGGCTCAGTTCCACGTCTTTCTATTTAACTCTCAAAATAACTACTAGGCAGATACGAATACCATTTCAAAGAAGAGAATACAGCGGTAGAGAGGTGAAGATGCTCTCCTAATATTATGGCTGATGGTCAGGAAAAGGGCTGGGGGAGGACAGGCCCAGGGGACCCCCGATCCCCGCGAGGCACGACCGCAGCCCGGATCCCCAGCGGGGGATGCGCCGACCGCCGCACCCGGGAGCGGGCTCATTCAAAGAAACACAAGCCCCGCCCTTCGCCGTGGGCGGATTCCCTTCCCCGGGGTCGACCGCCGGGCTCCTCCCGGCCCACAGCCAAACGAAGGAGGCCCGCTGCGGACGCAGGGAGAGGGATGCGGGAGGGGAGGGCTCACCTTTCGGGGAGGAACGAAGGCCGCGGCCTCGCGTACCTGGGGCGGAAGTGACTCTGCCCACAGAGAACGCCGGGACTACGCTTCCCAGAATTCCCGACGGGAGCGGGGCCGCGGCCTCAGGCTCCCGCGGCGCAAAGTATCCCCGTACGCAGGGCTTCCAAACCACACTTCCCAGAATTCCCCGGACGTCTCGTCGCCTTCGCAAGACGGAAGTGCCGGCGGCTGAGCGGAGGGCCTGGCTCGCATTTCACAACATGCGGATCCAGAAGGAATTTCCAAATTCCGCCTTTCTGCAGCCGAACGCTTCCAAACGCTGAGAGCTCGAATCCGTCTATGCTTCTCCATGTTTAGGACCGACCGTGCCTTAAAGGGGACTTTCCTGGAGTGTGTCTCTGACCCTGTCGATCCTCTGGACAAATCCTGGGAGCTTCTGCAGCGCAGCGCTTCCGCAAGTCAACTTTCTCCCCTGTCTAGTCCGTCTGAATTAATTCTCTGTTGCTTTGTCAAGCTTGACCTCCCTCTTCGCCTCCATCTCCTGAAAACTTTTTTTTTCAAACGTGACGAACACATACCCGAATAAACTCAGCCAAAGCAAAGTCTACCTACTACAAGAAAGTATCCTATAAAGGAGAGAATGGGGGACGCTTGGAATACGAAAAAGAAAAAAAAAAAAAAATCATAAGAAGGGAAGTGATGTGTGCGCTAAAAGTGCGGATATTAAAAGGAAGCTGGGCTCACCTGTGCTGGGCACCGAATTGAGGGAATACAGGCTCTCAACCTTTCTTTGATTGAATTGCCTTTTTTATCCCATTTGGGCATGGAAGCATTGGAAACTCGGACGGTGCTGCTACTAACCACTATAAGGCATTCATTTCAAGATCTGCGAGAACAGACATGGGTGCCAACAGTCCACAAAAAACAGATGCAACAGTTTATTAGGCCACAAAGCAGAAACAGCAAACATATCCCAGCTTCCTTGGCTTAACTGCTGATAAGGAAATGTATAAGACAAGTGGAAGGGTTGTATTGATATTGACAAAATGGTATAATATGGGGATAAGTCCCTTATAAAATCTTCAAGTTTTTACTTCTTTGAGCTCCTAGTATCATATTAACTATGCTTGTCCTGCTCTTGATTTTATAAATATGGTATGTTGTCTTATGGAGGACAGGATGATTCAGGGAGGACGATGGGTGAGAATGACTCAATCCAGAAAACTTTAACAGAAAGAAAGTGAGAAGCATTAAAAAGTCTAATTTCTTGTTTAAAATGTCACAAAAGGAATTATCTAATCTCAGATAGTGGTCATCAGTGAACTCTGTCACATATTTAAAGAAGAAATTGTGATTATCTCAAAATTCTTCTGGAGAATAACAAAATAGGAACCACTTTACAACTAATTTTATGCGACCACTATGACACTGATACTGAAATCTGTCAGAGGTTTTATTGGAATAGACGATGAAAGTCCTATCTCAGTGTAGGTCTTCTGAGTTTTCTGTGTATGCATCCTCACATTGACTTCAGATTTGCAACAAATGTGGCACTGGAGAGCCACAGGAAGAAAGAAAATAATATGTGGTGCTGAATTAAATTGGGTATTGAGAAAGAAAACTAATACTGATCTCTACCTCGCACAATATGCAACAATCTAGAGCTGGTGGATTGTAGAAAAGCATTTCTTAGGATTTGAAAAGCATTTCTTAGGACATTTCAAATCTACTCATATATAGTATATAGAGCCATTGAAAAGCATTTCTTAGGACATTTCAAATCTACTCATATATAGTATATAGAGCCATAAGAAATATGCCTGTTGTCTGTAGATCTCTCTAGCAAACTGTGTGGAATTTCGGGTGTATATGTAATTTATATACATAATCTTATTTTATAAAACTTTCTGTTAAAACTTGTTACTCAAAACTATGTTTATCCCAACCTTTTACTGTGAAGTTTTTATCATGAGGAAAATTTGGGAGAATTATACAATGTTCATCTACATACTACCAGCCTAGATTCCAAAATTAGCAATATTTATTTCTCAGCCATTCACCTGGCCATCTTACCTAACACTTATCTGTTAAAACATTAACATTACCCCAATAAAGTTCCCTCATGACACTTCCCAGTCTTAAACCCCTTCCTCCAGTGGCAATCATTGTTCTGATATTTTTTTCATCATAGATACATTTTGCTGATTTTAGAACACCAAACATAAGGAAACATACAGTCCTTACTCTTTTGCATTACAATTCATTGAGCCTAGTGTTTTTTAGGTTCATCCATGTTGATGCACGGATCAATTATTTGATTGTCTTTATTACTGAGTAATTTTCTATTGCATGAATACATTGCAGTGGAAACCTGTTTATATTATTTATTTATTTATTTTTGAGTTGGAGTCTCACTCTGTCACCCAGGCTGGAGTGCCATGGCACACTCATGGCCGCTCCAGCATTGACCTGCTGGGCTCCAGTGATCCTTCCACCTCGGGCTTCCAAGTAGCCAGAACTACAGGCATGCACTACCATGCCTGGATAATTTTTTTATCTATTGTAGAGACAAGGTCTCACCAAGTTTTCCGGGCTGGTCTCAAAACCGCAGGCTAAGGCAATTTGCTCGCCTCAGCCTCCCAAAGTGCTGGGATTACAGGCTGAGCCACCGAGCCCAGCCAGAAACCTGTTTACATTTTAAAACTATTATGAATAAGGCTTCTGTAGCATACTTATAAATGTCTTTGTGAGCATATGCTTTCTTTTCTCTGGAATATATATAATTGCTGGATGTGACTGCTTGAGAAATTGCCAGATCTTTTCCCAAAATGATTAACATATGCAATTTCTAATTGCTTTGAATCCTCATAAATGTTATCAGCATTTTTAATATCTCCCATTCTAGTGACTGTGTAGTTGTAATGCACTGCAATTTTCATTTGCTTTTTTCTGATGACTAATGATGTCAAACAACTTATTTGGGGGCATATTAGCCATTCCTGTGTCTTCCTTTGTGAAGTGACTGTTCAAATTTTTCCCATTATAAAATTGGGATGTTGGTCTCTTTAATATTGTGTTGTACAGTTTCTTTATGTATTCAGGGTGTCCCTGCCCTCCCTACCATCTCAGCCACTACCATAAGCAAGCCAGATGAGAGAGGTCACATAAGAAAATAACACGAACTGTCACCCCAATAATAGCAACTATATCAATAAAAAATAACAAAACAAAAAATAAAAAGCAAGAGACTATCCTCACAAATGAGGAAGAACCAACTAAAAAATACTGGCAATCCCCAAAGCCCTAATAATTTGATATTCTCAAAGAGGTTTCTCAGATTCTAAGCATTGGAGCCCATCCAGAATGACCTGTCTCTGAAGACAAACAGAATTTAAACTATGGATGGCAAAGAGATTCAATGAGATCCGGGAAAAAGTGGACACACAAATTGACTAGGTCACAAAAACAATACAGGAAGTGAAAACTGACCTGGTCATTCTAAGAAAGAACCAAACTGAAGTTCTAGAAATGAAGAATTATAATCAAGAACCAAACTGAACTTCTAGAAATGAAGAATTCTCTCCTGAAATTTCAAAACACAATAGCAAGCCTTAACAGCAGAACTGACCAGGCAAAAGAATCTGAGTTTAAACATCCAACTACTGAATGAATCCAGCCTGACAAAATAAAAAGAAAAGAATTAGGAAAAATGAACAAAGCCTACAAGAGGTCTGGAATTATGTAAAGAGACCAAATCTGTTGCTGATTGGTATCCCTGAGAAAGAAGGGGAAACTTGAGAACATCTGGAACAAGCCCTCCAGGATGTCATCCAAGAAAACTTCCCTTATCTCACTAGAGAGGTGGTTGTGTAGACACAGGAAATTCCTGTAGTACCTGTGAGGTATTACATGAAAAGATCATCCCCAAGGCACATAATAATCCATCTCCACAAGGTGAGCATGGAAAAAAAAAATCCTAGAGGCAGCTAGAGAGAAGGGTCAGACCACCTACAAAGAGAGACCCATCAGAATTGCAGAAGACAGCTCAGGAGAAACCTTATAAGCCAGAAAGGACTGGGGGACCCCTCTTTAACTTTCTTAAAAGCAGTTCCAGCCAATAATTTCCTAACCCACCAAACTAGGCTTCATTAATGAAGGAGAATTAAAATCTTTCCCTGACATCCAATGCCTAAGAGATTATGCCACCTCCAGACCAGTCCTTCAGGAGATGCTTAAGAAAGTTCTAAGATAGAAATGAAACAGCAGTTCCACCCATTGCAAAAGTATAAGTAAGCACAGAGTTTACAGGTCATACAAATCAACACGGTTTTTGTTTGTTTGTTTGTTTAAGTTGGGGTCTCTGCTGCCTAGGTTGGAGGGCAGTGGTAAGATCATGGCACACCACAGTCTCAACCTCCTGAGCTCAGGTAATCCTTCTGCCTCAGCTTCCTGAGCAGCTAGGACTATGGACACACACTACCATGTCTGGCTACTTTTTTGATTTTGTAGAGACAAGGTCTCACTATGTTACCCAGGCTGGCCTTGAATTCCACAGAGATGGCTCACCACAGTCTCAACCTCCCAGGCTCAAGTAATCCTCCTACCTCAACCTCCCAAAGTGCTGAGATTACAGGTGTAAGCCACTACTCCCAGCCCAAAACAGCTTCTTAACAACATGACAGGAACAAACCCCCACACCTCAATAATTAACTTAAACTTGAATGGAAAGAACGAACCACTCAAAAGGCATGAAGTGGCAAATTGGATAAAGCAGTATGATCCATCCCTCTGCTGCCTTCAGGAAATCCATCTCATTACAAATGATACAGTCTCAAGGTAAGGGCTGGAAAAAGATCCTCCAGGAAAATGGAGAACAAGAGCAAGAGTGGCTATTCTTATATCAGATAAAATGGACTTTAAATCAATAAAAGTTTAAAAGGACAATGAAAGGCACTCCATAATGATAAAGGGCTAATTTACCAGCAAGAAATATCCATCTTGAATGTATACACACCCAGCATAGGAGTACCCAGATTTATAAAACAATTGCTAATTAATCTAAAAGAGGACATAGACAGC